ACATACATACATACATACATACATACATACATACATACATACATACATACATACATACATACATACATACATACATACATACATACATACATACATACATACATACATACATACATACATACATACATACATACATACATACATACATACATACATACATACATACATACATACATACATACATACATACATACATACATACATACATACATACATACATACATACATACATACATACATATCATACATACATACATATAGTCATACATACATACATACATACATATATAGAACTTTAAAAATAGCTCATCGTTTGCACGGCATATATACATATACAAATGATTCGGTACAGAATTTAAACAGAATCGCCAAATTCTCTTTTTCATCATCTTCTTTTTATTATTATTATTGTTGTTGTTTAAATTATTACTACTATTGTTGTTGTTCTAAATATCAATTAAGAAGAATTTAGTTAACTTTTCTATGAACACACACTTACACACTTACTTGCATAAACACGTACACACACTCAAAATAGATACACACACACACATACACACGCACACACACACACACAACACACACATACATAAATACACACACACACATGTGCTGTGTGAATGCATTAATATGATAGAACATGTGTGTAATTTTGAGTTGTTGAGTTATTTACATTATGCGTGCATGCAAATTCAACTATAATTACACACACACACGCACACACACACACACGCACACGCACACACGCACACACACACACATTCATACACATGTATAAGCTATTCAGTACAGTATACATATAAGTAAACATTAATGCATGGTTTAATATAAAAGCAGAATAATACAGACATAATGAGTAAACATATAAAGACAAACTTAAACACATACCTACATACAAACACAAACATACATTCACAGGTACATCCACACATACATCCAGACAAACGTACACACATTCGTACACACATACATCAACACATACATCCACGCATACGTTCAAATAAAACATGTATTCAGGTGCAATAGCCTGATTCAGACGCGAATAAACATGCCATGGAAGACAACAAGCTTGCACACACATACAAGAACAAACATACAAACACACACATACAGGCTTACATACATATCTACATGCAAACATACAAAACAATAATACATAAATACACAAATACGTATAAAGCATACAATTTTTCTACATACCTACATATATAACTATACTACCTCAATCAACATAAAGAAACAGTCTTATACAGAGGACACACACACACACACACACACACCACACACACACACATATATATAGTCAAACATAAACACACATACACACCTCATACAAACCAACAAACGCGTATATATGCACACATACGTACACACACATACTTGCGTATATTAGGTTGTTGTGGTGCTGTGTGTTAAAACTGGAATAGCATTATTGAATGCCAACAAAGGACCGTGCTTGTTGTTGCTAACAGAGCCCGGTAGCGGGTTCCATCTATCAAAAATCGCTTTCACTTACATCGGTTGTAACTTTTTAAATCGAGTTTTTAAAGTATTTTTCGATAATTTGTTGAAAAACTATTTTAATTAGAAAATAATTTGCAAAAAAAAGTAATTGAGCGGTTATCATACACATACACACACAAAAATACATACGATCATACACACGCGCACACACACGCACACATACATACGCCCTATGTTGAATGGAGAAACAACGGCTTATACTTTCATTCCTCCATCTCTTTATTTCAATTCAGAGATTTGTATTTTCAAGCGAGTATGTATGTATGTACGTACATTCGTATGTACGTTTGTATGTACGTGTACGTGCGTTTGTATGTATATGTGTATTAGAGAAAAAGAAAAAGAAAGAGAGAGAAAGAAAAAGAGAGAGAGAGAGAGACAGAGAGAGAAATAAAATCTAAGAATCTGAGCCAGTTGAGAGCATGAACAGATGTTCGGAATATCACATTAATATACCCTCACCATTTCCATCCCAATCTCTCTCTTCTTCTTTCCGTTTCTTCACTCATTCTTCCTCTTCTTACAATCTTACTTCTCTATCTTTTTTCTCTTCTCTCTTCTCTCTCTCTCTCTCTCTCTCTCTCTCTCTCTCTACTTTTTGATTTTAGAAATTTTAATTTAACGGTGAATTTAATTCTACATCATAAAACGTAACCACCATTAGTGATGGTCGTCATCACCAACGCGATCGTCATCATCGCCACCACCATCGCAACCACCCCATTGTTATCACCATCATTATCATCCTCCTCCTCCTCCTCATCATCATCATCGCCTGAGGTGTTATGTTTCAGAAAACAATACGAAGCTAATGCAGAGGATGTGCCATTAATAATAAAGGATGAAAAAGCATTTATACATTTGTTATATATATTTATACATATATATATATATATATATTATATATATATATATATATATACATTTGTTATGATCAAAGAATGAGAGAATGATTGGTGGTGGAAAATTGGATGAATGAAATGAGGTTCAGGTGACAATGCACGTGCTAGGAACGGTGGAGATAGGAAAAAAGATGGAAAGAGAGAAAGAAAAGAGAAAGAAAAGACGAGAGAGAAAGAGAGATGGAGAAATAATCGGTATTACTTCCCTGAAGTTTTATTCATAAGCGACAAACATTTGAAAGAAATTAGAAATGTGATGATCAGATAGATAGTACGTACAGTGCGTCCCAAATGTAGAAATAGAATTACATTAGAACTTGGACTATTTAATTTATTATTATGTGATGAGTGATTTAATAAATAACTTTGATTCAAACAATTAACTTATTTTTGGGCCACTTAACGATAACTCAACATATTTTGAGATTCTTAAAACTTCTCTCAAGCTTTTCATTTTTGAATCTCAACACTTTCAATAAGCCTTTTAGTTCTGCCATCTGTTGATGGGATAATAAAAATATTTCGGCAAAATACAAAAATAGCCAAATAATTGATCCATTGTTCGACCGAAGCCAAACCGATTTAAGAAACTCATGATTTTGAAAAAAATTTATTTGAAATACAAGCTTTAAAATAAAACGGGTTACCATTGAATTTTCTCTAGCAATTCTTCATCGAGATGATATTCAACCTCTTAGTCAAATTACATGTTTGAACGGCTAAGATGATCATAACATTTTTCGTCGATAATAATCAATAATTATTGTTCTGGAATCGCAAAAAGTTGATGACATGAAAGAACGAACATTTTGTGCCTCTAAGAACTATAAATATTTTACCGAAATTCATGTCCAAGCGAGTGCGGGTGCCTTTGTCTGAAGTATATTTTTATCTTAGCTCATGATAAATATTAATTAATGTGCTCTGTTTGTGTTGTACGTGCGAGAACCTTGCCAAAGACGATGGTTGTTGTTAACGATGCGTTGTGATATTAAAAGTAATAATTATATGATGTTCGAATAAAAGAATATATTTATGCGAATTTTAATTACACCTCACACGAATCAATTTCTGCTCCTTATAATTATAAAGCGCGCTCTACCATTTATTACTGCCTGCACGATATTAGTTATATTCTATTGCACAATTTTGAGCAACTTTTTGAAAGGCCAATGATCAATTGCATTATAATCTTCTAACCAATAGCGTGCTTGCTTTCCTATTGCACAACATCTATTTATAGTAACAAAACATTCTATATATAGGTCTGTCAGTTTTCATTCGGACAACATTGGTTCCTGAATCCATTTCCGCGCGGGCGCGTCACAATGGCGACGGACTGGAAATGGATTTTGTCGAGAGTGAAGCAAAAACAGCCTTAAGCTTACTTCGTAACTTCGAGGTCTTTTCGCGGGCCTTGAGACACCTGGTCAGTTGAATCTGCGGGCCAAAGCAGCCTCGCAATCGTCCATGGACGCTAGGGGTTGGTCCGTACGATTTGCTGGCCCCCGAGTTCATTCTACTCGATATTTGGTTCGATATCGGTTCACGTTAGCCGGTATTGTTGATATCCGGTACCGATAGAATGGATCTGCGGGGCTTGCAGTCCTGTCGTCGTTTGAAGCGTTTCGGAGAATCAATCTCAGGCAGATGAACCGCGACTCGACTTCGAAGTTACATCAGCAGTAGCAGCAGCAGCAGGCCTGCTTGAGGTTGTTTCTACTTCACTCGAGATGAAATCTATTTCAAGTTCGTCACCACATTTCATTCACACAGCTCCATCGTATTCTGCATAGCAAAGGTAGCAATGATGTTAGCGCGTTAACGAGACACACCTCACCATCCTCCTCCTCCTCATCATCACCAGATCGTTGATCACCTCAACCTTACAACACTTCATTCATCTTGCCACTTACTCCACAACGGAGATAATTCATTTTTTAACTTTTTTCTTAAATTTTGTTAGTTATAAAATTTGTGATTTTAATCTAAATGAGATTTACCTTAACAGACAACGACCCGACGTCAGGGTTTCTCGGACAGTTCTGGTACATATCCAGTTGCAAGTTCACGCGAAACATTCCTCGCTTTGACGCCGCCGAAAATTCACACAAAAAACTTTATTTTATTTTTTCAGTATTTTACTATAAAATAAATAAAACATAGTAAGTAAATCAAACCAAACGAAACTAAATAAACTTAAACGAACGAACACAAAATCTTAACAGGCTTTTTTTACTGTTGTAAGAATAAAATATTTTTTCTAATTTAAATTAATTTTAATTTAATTTTAAGTTATAATTATTATCTTTTAATTATTTTGAACAATCATAGTTTGTATTATTATTATTAATCATGCAGTATTTAAAATTGCATTCAAGAAGAGACATATTTAAGCTCACAAAATTTTACTATGCAATTCGAATTACGTACACACACGCATACATACATACCTATTCACAAATACACATATATACATACGTATTCACACACACCCACCCACACACACATTCATACCCACACACATACACACAAGGACATACACGCGCATAACGATACATATACTCAAGGAAAAAATAATAACTTAATCATCAGTTGAACTATGAACATTTTTATTACAAATACACAAATAATCACACAAACACACACACACAGACACAATGTTTTTAAAATCTTTTATAGAATGGCAATCTAAATCCTCTGCTAGTTGTAATACAAGCCTTGCTATTATCACCATCCTCATAGCTTAAATCATTGAAACCACCATTATTAATGTACTTTTTGCTTCTGCTGTAATTATTAACGCTATTATTGTTGTTATAACTGTTGTTGTTGATGTTTTTGCTGAATTTGTGGTTGTTATAACCAAGCTTTTTCATATTATTATTATAATCATCATTATTGTTATTTCTTTGAGAATTAAAAGTATTGTTGTTACAATCATTAAACTGATTACAATTGTTGTATCTGTTGTTGTTTTGTCTGTTGTTGTTATATCTACTGCTGTCAAAATTGTTATTGTAGTATCTAGAATTGTCGTTATTGTTGTTGCTGTTGTTTTGTTGAAAACATCGATAATCAACATCATTTTGACAACTACTATTATTAATGTCATTACTACTAATACTACGACGAACACAATAACTGTTGTTGTTGACAAAGTTGTTGTTGTTGTTGACAACATTGTTGTTGTTGCTGTTGTATTGCCTGGAGCTATTACAAATACTACTATTATCACTGCCATCATTTAGAGAGATGTAATTGCCACTAAAATTATTATTATTTTTATTATTATTACTATTTAAATTATCCTCCGTATAGTCCAAGAAATTTTTCACTATCTTTGGTTTTTTAAAAAATGGCGACAATTTTGCGGTTTGCTGTAAGATATTCGGCAGTAAAAAACTCGGTGTGGGCGGTTTCAACAGCCTCTTCTCCTTCTTCTGATTGGTCGATGAGGACTTCTGGGGTTTAGAATTATCGCCAGTTAGTTTGGCATTCTTTTTGGAAGAAGTGACGTTATTCGTCAGGGAAGGAGTTGCCAGCATACCAGGCGTCTGATTGGCTGATGATAATTTTGCAGGCATGGAAGCATCTGGATGCAAAATTGAAGAGATGAGTGAATGAATGAAAGAATAACTAAATAAATGAATGATTGAATGAAGTTAAAAAACCAACTGACTTAATTTTTTCTGCCTTTTTTTCTCCTTCCTAATTTCCTTTCTCCTCGCTAATTTCATCTCTCTCTCGCCATAGAAGGCATCTTGTAACTCCTCCTCTGTCATGTTTTCAACAGCCAAAGGCAAGTCAGTCTTCTCAAGTGGGCGGAGTTTTGATTTGCTATTGGTCAGTGGTCTGCTGATAATAGACCTGGGGTGACGCATTTTTTCATTGATGATTAGAAAATGGTGTATTTGACAGCGTAATTAAACGAAATATTAAATATTTTCAAATAAATTTTAAAACATTTTTCGTTAAACATCAGAGAAAAAATTAGTTGAATCAAAATACCTTTCAAAATCAGAAATTTTTTGAAAATTTTGGGAGCTCTGACTTTTAGACAATTTCTTATTACCATTATTTGTATCACTATTACTATTACCAGTAGCTTTTGAATGATCACAGAGTTCATCCCCATCTGCAAACAATTTCAACTTGAAATCTGCTTCACTGCTTGACTTCTGAAGTGTCGACCATTTTATGTGCAGAGGTTCTATCATAGAGGATGATTGTGAGTTTGTATTTTTAAGGGTACGACTAAGAGTAGTTTTATATACGTTTAAACTCCTGTCCACTTTTAAATCTTTGTTTCTGGCGCAGTTTTTTGCTGTTTGAAATGTGTTAATAGCTCTTCTGTGGTTTCCACTGTCAAATGTTTGATCTGATTTCATTTGTAGGGTTTGATTTTTAGAATGTGGTCGTTTAAGAATTTGTTTTCGTCCAGGTTGTTTACTCCTAAAAGATTTATCACTATCATCATCGTCGTCGTCTTCCTCACCACCACCACCATCATCACCACCATCCATATTTGTGGGTTTATCTTTAGATTTGCTAATGTAGGATGGTGTTGGTGTGAGCATGTTGGTCGTTACCTTGGCTTTACCATCCTTTTGTTTGATATCTCCAGTTGAAATAATATATATATATATTTATTATATTTCATAATTATATATATTAAATTCATTTCATACATTTTCTAACATTTTACAAAAATATTTTTACCTTTTTACCAATACAACTACATTTCATATTAATTTTACATAAACTCATAAAATAAACTTTTCTTTTAAAAAAAAAACACAAAGAAATCTCTAACAGACACACACACACTCACTCACACACACACACACACACACACTCTCACACACACGCACAGACAAACCTGCATTACAACTGTTAACACTGTTCTGAAAGGTAGAAGTAGTTGTTGAAGTTGTTGTCGGTGCGACCCTGTCGTACTTGCTTATGAATATGGAGGATATGGCCTGCCTGCTATCCATTCTCTGCTGCTTGCACGACTAAATAATAATTTTAATTATAATAATAATAAATAACAACAATAACAATAAATAATAATAATATATATAATAGCAATGTTGTTAATTAAACCAGAAATAGTCAATTTAATATAATTGAGATGGTTGTTTCATTGCAAATCCTTATATCAAACGGCCAATCAATCAAAAAAATCATTAGATCAACTAATCATCAATCAATCAAACATTGAATCTAGATGATTAATTAATCATCAAACAATCAATCAATCAATCAATCAATCAATCAACTTACGTATCCAAAATGAGCAGAGCTACCACAGTTGAAACAACTGCAGACGACCTCGATATCTACATTATTATTATCATTTTTGCCATCCCCCTTCCTCTTACTCTTCCTCACTATCTCTCCCTTGTTCACCGTCAGATGGTACTGTCTCCAGACATCTGAACACCACTGAATTGTTAGTTAGTTGTAAATGCAATTAATACTCAATATATCAACAACAACAACAAACCAAAGATTCCCAAAATATCCCCAAAAAAACTACAAGATCCCTCTGAAAAAACCCCCAAAGTACCCCTTGGATACCCCTTGAGCACCTCTTCAAAATGTCCGCCGGCATGACACCTAGTGCACCAGGATCTGTGGGACCTCTTGCAATCTTTCAGTGTGTGGCCTGGCTTGCTGCACCTGAAACACATCTGATCGGGGCATGCCCTGAAGTGGTGGCCTTCTCTAGTGCACAGGATGCATTTCAGTTTCTTCTGTTTCAGAAAAGAATTAAAAGTTTAGAATTTGAGAAGTATGAACACGCCACACACACACACACACACAAACACGCACGCACACAAAACTTCACACAATTAAAACATCGAAAACCCATCCATACATCCGTCCATGAGCAACCATTCAGTCACTAATTACACTAATCATACCCACTTTTTTGGGACACGAATGCATA